CATCGGAGACACTCATAGATATTGAAATGTCTTTACGTTATAACGCAATTTCTTCGAGTGGACATCTTCGCAAGAGATATGAGTGGGAGTGGGGACCGACTTTAAAATAGTTAGACCGGCCGCAGCGTCGAGCAGTCGCTGTTTGAACAGTGAAACAAGCGTGGCACGTGACATATCACACTGAATTATAGAGTAATTTGGAACGATTCTCAATCAAGCGAGAGAGTCTCAGTCACTGTGTCGGTCTGTACGGTCTTGCTCGTGCAGTGTGCTCCAAAGAGTGTTTCCGTTTTCCTTCGTCGCTTCTCTAGGGTATCTCACATATATACTCACACGCACACACGGTTCACTTAGTTTTCCACGTCGTGATTCGCAAATAATTTCGGCAATGAACAAAATAATTAATTATTCGTCAGTCAATTAACGTCACAAATGCAAAAATTGTTTCGAACGTCTGAAGAAAGGAATAAAAAATTCCGTGGAAAATCAAAGATCGAGCAATTAATTCATCAACTCTGTTTCTGTTATTTTCTTTCGAAAACTCTTTGCCCATTTTTCGCACGAAAATTGTCTGATTCTTCATTAATTTTGACACACGTTATTATTATTGAATAACAATTCAACAATAAATAAGTAATTATTCGAGATTTCAAGATCTACACATGTGTGTGTGAATTGAAACATTATTATTATTATTACATGCATATGTCTCGTGCACATTCAGTCTTTCATTTGCAAAAAGCAGCCTAAATTTTTTTTGTTGTTGTTAAAAAATATTGCACATAGAGAAACTGTTTGATTAAAAAAATGAGAATCTATTGTTTTCGAACGATTGAATTGCACGAGGAATCTGCGGCATTTCCTCAATCTCTCTCACAGTCGAGTCGAGTTTTCCATTTGCGGAATAATCATCCGATTAACGCAATTGTTTCCCATAGATCGGATTCTGTTCCGACAGAGGGGACACAGCCAAGATGTTTCGCGGTCTGCTGGATTTTATTACAAACGATAACAAAGTAGACGAGAAACTCGGCATGACTGAAAAGCAAAAGAAGATAGTGCAGAACACATGGGCGACCGTTCGCAAAGACCCGGTGTCGTCCGGAATTGCCATCATGCACGCGTGAGTGAGAAAATTGCAATTGATTAAATGTTTTTCTTCACACGTTCTATTTTTTTGTACGTAAATCAGCGCGCGACAAACGAAACAGAAAAATCCGAAATGAGATCGCGGTGTCGATTAACGCACTGAAAAAAAAAAATCGATCGTATATATTTCGCGAGATCGTTTCACATCGGAGAGATGATTCTTCGATCGATAAACAACGCGTTAAAAAATTCTCTCGACGCGCGTCTTAAGAAACTTAACTCGCCCACAACTTCCGCATTCTCGCGAGCCGCTCATTTATTTAATGAATTATCGATGCGTGTTTGCACATCATCGAAAATCCGTGTCACGTGTTAACGATCTCGTCATCGAACACTCTCACGTACGCGTCGAAACCATTTGCGATTTTTGTTAATGCAAACTGCGTCGTATGCGAATGCGTCGCGTCGCATCAAAAAGACGACGCAACCGCAGAGAATGTACGCTATGAAAATTTCAACACCATCGCCTCTATTATTTGTGCGACACGAGATTAAATTGTCGCATTAGTAGCCGGCACAGCTGTTTGTATAGATGAAAAAAGAGAGGAAGAGAGAGAGAGAGAAAAAGGTTTTAAGTTACATTCGCGACATATTAAAAAAGAGGAATGTCATCGCCAGTTACAGATTCGCGCGGAACGTGTGTGTATTGACGCAACATGTTCCTTATGCAACGCAACTTTGCTCGGGCGTGTCGTAATATCGAGATTAGCGATAATTTAATCAAACAAAGTCAGAGCCGGTTTGCGATATTTGCAAACCCTACCTACTTAACTCTAAGATAACACACTCAACGTTTATAAAAATGTCGAGAAGCAGCATTCGATAAAGTTGTTTTTAATGAACAAAATTTTTCGTTGTTATTTATTTTTGTAATCTTTACGATAGTTCGTACACGTAAACGGACTCGTTGCAAACATTCGCGTGTTATTAATTTTTTTTCTCTCGACAAGCGAGAATCATTATGCATGTTTATCGTTCATTTTATCTTCTGCGCTCCGCGCACGTTCGGAGTGTAAAAACTGCGTTTAATTCTAATGTAATTCTCAATGGAGAATAGCGGTATCGCACAAAAGCGCGATTTCCATCATCAGATGCTTTGCAGAAATCCTTCAATTTCACAACGAATACGCGTAACTCGTAAAATCGTTCTTTGTAGCCTTTTCACGGAACATCCGGAATATCAAAATCAATTTAAAGCATTCAAGGACATGCCTTTCGACGAACTGGCGAAAAATAAAAAATTCCAAGCGCACTGTGCCAATATCGTGTCCGCGATAAGCGGCGCGATTGATCAGTTGCACGATCCGACATTGATGGAGGCTACCTTGCTCAGTTTGGCCGAGAGACACAAAAACCGCGGGCAAAAGCTCGAACATTTTCAGGTAAAGTTAAGGTTTTTTTTTTTTTTTATTCGTCAACGAACGCTAAGCTAATGGTTTGTGACTTAAATTTGCATAAATTTTCTTTATCTGTCACATTAATTTTCATGGTAATTTGAACGTTGTTAAAAAATCTTTTATCTTTTCTAGCAAACTCGTAAGCGTCAGTTAATTTTTTTGCTGTATTAAAATTTTCATTTGAAACTTCTCGACGTAATCGACGATATTTGTATTGCTGTTGTTGTTTATGCGTTTGATTATACGCGCCGAACGCGTGATAAATAAATGCGCGCCGTGAGTGAGAGACGATCAAGACTACAGATGTAACAAAGCTCGTCTAATTGCAACAACAAACGTTACGCTCATATGGCGAACCCCGATTATGTCATTGCTTGTTTTATTAAACAAACAATTAAAAAAAACATTTTTTCCGTGAAGTAAAATAAGAATAATAATGATGGTTTCTCTATTTGCCGCGAAGCTGACGTACATGAGAGAGGATTAAGAGAGATGTGACATAATGAATATTTAAAGCATCAAGATCTCAGCAAAACAAAAAATTATGTTTCAGAACTTGAAACAAGTGATGATAAATCTTTTGCCCACCGTATTTGGGAAACAATACACGCCGGAGGCGCAGGAGGCTTGGAAAAAAATATTGGACTTGATGTTTTCAACTTTCGGTCAGGTGTACAACGATTAAGACGCACAGATTTCAACTTACTGAATCCACGCACAAAGATGTGATGTGCACACACTTACATATAATATACATATATGTGTAACGCTAAGGTGGTTTTTATTTTTAACTTTTGAATTTTTTTCGCGGCATTCTTTAGAATGAGTGCCGCAAAAAAATTCCGAAAAAATCCCAATTGCTATAAAAACATAATCTGAAAAAGTTCAGCCCGAGATCGGATAAGGGCTCCTAGGCCTGTAAACGTTGAAAAAAATTATTAAATTATAAAATTAAAAAGTAATTAAATAATATTTTTTGAATGTTAAGAACCCAAAGGCTTCTTATCCGATTGGACTGAATTTTTTCAAGCGAGAAATACGATATTTTAATGTTACTTCTAAGTAATTTATACAATTGACTTTTATAAGAAAGCTATATGTGATTAAACGAAGATTGTACAAAATGTGCACAAAAGAAACGTTTGTAAATAATATATAAATATATATTATACTTGTTGTTTAAATATTTCACGCGATAAAATGTCTTATGCGCTTACCTGTGTGTTTGTGAACTTGTGTTCGGTCGCGCTTTGTGGTTTTCTTCCTACAGTCGTTAATGCCTTTACACACGTAGTCAGGCATCTAATAATGCCTTTCATTGTTTAAGGTGTTATTGATGATGACATTGGTGGAAACTGACGTATAAATGAAAGAAAACGTGTGATGATGGCAAAATATATATGTCACTTCATTATGAGCTTTTTACACATATTCACTATATTTAAGTATACATGTATTATATTTACATGTACAGGCCAGAGCGTTTATGCCTTTACACATGAAGTTGCATCAATGTAACGTCTCTCAATAAAATTTTTTTGAACAATAAAAACTACAATTTCACGCGTAAAGGCATTAAAAGTTTCTGCCTGTCTGTACGCACACTACGCCCATATCGATATTCCATTTGATGCGTCTCGATTCGGCCGGCTGTAAAAAACGTCAATCATTGTGCCCGAATCGGTTGAGACTGAAGGTTAAACACATTCAACACAAAATTCCCGCTAATCATTGCTTCTTATTATTAATAAATTCATTTCAAAACGATAGAGTAGGTTGACAAGAAGAGTGTTTGAGAAAAACGATGATATGAATGGATGTCAACGCAACTATTCATGATATAATATCAGGTGAGGAGACGCGAAGATTTTTTTTTTTAACACCTAGATGGACACTCGCGGTCGACACGATATAGTTTGTTTTTCTTTTTTTTTTTTAGGACGCCGCTCGATTTGCGTGTCCCTGTACGTTGCCGGAGGTATCATAATCGCGACCGTGCTTTTGACTTGCTGTTGCACTCTGATCGTGCGACGCAAGTGTGCGAGACTCATCGACAAGCTCACAGGGAGAAAGAAACGAAAGGAGTTAGTACAGAGAATATTTTGTATTGTTACTTGAGAGCGCGGATGTGTTTTCTTCTTCTCGCTCTTACACACCGAGATTCAATAAAATCGGACAAAAACACGTGATCGATATTGCGTAAATTATGTTTAGAAAATATCTCGCTTCCGATATCGAGGAGGGTTGGAGAAAGCGCGATTTCGCGAAGAAGAAGTTGCGAAAAAAGAGAAAGAGAGCACCCTCGCCCGATCTGATCGCGACGGAAATCACCGCGCCGATCGTTCCCAAGGAACTCGAAAAAGCGGAGGAGGATGAACCGACCAAATGCTACAAATGTTACAGAAAGAAGAAAAGAGGAAAGAGACCCAAGAGACAGATACGATGACACGGAGAAGACGAAGATTATATATATAGTAAATAAGTAAAGAAGGCGCGCACGCAATTTCTCATTATGAAAACAAATATCACACAGTAGCGCAAAAATGATGATTTTTTTTTGTTTTTTATTCGCGCAATTTTCTATAACCTTTTCCCTAGCTGAAGAAAGACATGCGTTCGATCGGTATTTGGATTACGATCGGTGCAACGATATTTGGCACAGGAATTCGCGGTACCATAGACGTGAATCTGAGCGAGCTCGAGTATCTCGCGGCGCGATTAGACCCGCTCGAGTGTCGACGATTAATCGCCGCGCTTCATTACACGACTTACGACCTGCCGAAGAGTTTGGCCTCGGCTGGTTAGTCGTCCTTCCAAACAATTTAACAACCCGCGCTTCGCAATTTACCTTCGTTTAAGTAATTAAGCGTTTCTTCTTGTATCCGTGCGAAGAGCGCAAGGTAGACGAGGAAATTCCATGTTTGCGTCAACTGCTGCATTGGAACAGCTCTCCCGCGGAGGGCAGAGGTAAGACGCACGCGGCGATCATACATCGTCTCCGACAGCTAAACCGCAACGATCTCGCCGACTGGCTCGGCAAGACCGCTTTCAAAGAACTCGGAAAGGATCTAAACGATGCTATTCAGCGCTCGTTCGACGAGCTTGCCAAAGAAGAAACGGAAACCAGCACGTTAGTATTTTGCGTGTTTTGCTACATTACATATCGGATATAATAAGCGATTTGTGAGTTGCAAGAGATATAAGATATCGATAATTTAGCAGTTACTTTCATATTCTCGTATATGTTTCTCTGATCCGAATATCCACCGCTAAAAATATATCAGTCGTATTTATGATTTTGCATTACTTCTATTTATATGGTTTTGCATTACTAGCTTCCTCACGACACTCAAGACCATGGCTTGGACTCACGAGGAAGAAGACTCTTGGTTTCCTATCGATACGATTCTTACAGCGCTTGTGCTCGGATTGTTAGGAACGCTAATCGTATTAATTGCGGCTATTGTCATACACACTGTCAAGAATAAAACCTATGTATCTCAATAGAGCTCTGTTTTTTCTTAGATCCAATCGTTTGACTCTAATTGACTCCAAACTCATTTGGCTCTTAAACGTCAACGATAAAAATTATCACAAGCTCAAAACATCAATTAAATATCGCGTTTTTTGCAATTTTATCTTCTTGAGATTTAAATAAATCTTCACGTTAAAAAAAAAAAAAAAGAACTCTGTGTTGAATAAAGAACAAAAAATAAAAATAAATAGAGCTTTTATTCGTTACACTTTTATTTTCATGTGGATATATAAATGCGTAGGTATGTATAACGACGCGATATATATCGTCTGTGTAAAATGAGCAATGGATCAGAAACTATTTTTATCCTATAATTGTTTATATATATATATATATATATATATATATATATATATATAATATTTCTTAAAAATAAAACGAGTTTCTCGTGATTGTCTTGTGCAAAATGGAAGAGCAACTTGGGTGAACCTTGGGTTTCTATATTTTCGTTGCGTAAAACTCTTGAAACATAACACACACATAGTATATACACAAAAATTATGTGGTATATGTATGTGTAATAAAATTGAGCTAATTGCAATTTTATCTCTAACGGTTTATGTAGAGAAATAATTCATATATATGTACATACACAAATTATATAGAGAACTCTGAAATGTGTGTGATATATAGAGTGTCATATAATAAAATACGCGCAAGCACACACACATTATTACACTAGTAATATCAATAATAAGAATGACTATGATAATTGCGATAATAAACTTACGAAAAATGGCAATGACAGTAACACATTAATGAGACATGTGCGACAGTGTTAATTGTGATGATGTACATTAATATTAGTAACATGTGGAAGATGCAATAATATCATTAAAAGCAATAAAAGGTAGCAAAAAATTGCGACTTTGATTGAGACGTAAGTTGTGAGAAACAGAGAACGTTGATTATAACTTATACAATGGAATAACTACTACAGTGGAGTAGCTACCTGAAATTAACATGCTTTTTAGTGCGAAAGTTAAGTAATTACATTCAACTTGTTCTAAAATAGATAAAAACAATTATGGAATTAATGTTTTGCAGTAGTACAAAATAATTAACAGTAGTACAATATAATTAACTTCATGTAACGAGAAAAATAAAAAACTAAATAAGAGTACATAACTCGTAATTATTCAGTTTTTATATTTCAAAAGTATTAGAAAATATAATTGAGACAAGTTAATTAAAGAATATGCACTTTTTTTTATTGATCAGTTGATATAATTTTGTTGCAAGAATGCTACTGCAGTTTTTTTATATAATTGACTAACTAAAAATAATATAATTTATATACTACAAGTTCTTTTACCATCCTCGTGCCGGTCCCGTAATAATCTTTTTATTTTTTTTGTTGATTAAAAATAATGGAATGCAAAAGTTGTTTCTCAGATATACACTTTGCGGACGGAACGATATGAGTGAAATGCACACATATGTGTGTGTGTGTGTGTGTGTAAAAGATGACATTACTGCTATATGAAACATTTATATAAGAATATGTTTTTTTATATTAATTTAATATAGTTAACAGTTATAATATATAAACTAATGTTATACTAGTAATATAGTAATAACAGTAATAGATTTAAAATTTCAAAGAAAATAAATGTGTACATTTAACAATCATGTATACATATATCTAATAATGTCGTGTATGTATATACACGCATACACATGATTGCATGACATAGATAACAACGATAAAAATGTAGGAAAATAATAGTAGTAGAAGTGAATATATTAGAGAATAGGAAGAGAGTATTAATAGTAATTCAAAGTGATAACACAATAATAGTAATAATAATTATATAATAACGATAAGTTCGTGCAGTAGATAATGTTAGCAAACAAATAAATTAATAAAAATTTAACAAAGATTCACAGACAAAAAAAAAGATTACGATATAAATTTGCACAATTGTAGTGTTTTCTCATTGTTTGTACAAATCTTTGTGTGTGTAATATAAAATTCATAAACACTCAATATATAAAAATTTTCCGTGGATATGTGTATGGATATATTAGATATGGAAATTTTAAATTAATATACATATATTTTCCACACAATAGATCCCACATAATATCCATCGAAAAACACTTCTTGCTTGCTTATCGTAAGCGATAAAAGAAAAAGAATTTCAAGATGATAATGTGATCTTTTTAGTCATGATAAAAACGGATAATGTAAAGTTTGTTTTACATACAATGATGAAAACAACTCTATTGGAGAAAAATTCAAAAATCGCTATCCGGGATCTATTGAATGCACAGCGAGACGTACGCTTTAAAATCAATGATTTGTCGTGACGAAATACGTAAGTTTGAGCCAAGAAGATAACAAGAAAAAAATTCTGATTAATGTTAAATCAATTTCGACATTGCTTATTTTGGAATTATAAGCGCTTTGAGGCGATATTAATGCTCTTTTTACAAAATAAATAAAGATACACACAAAATCCTTCGATTAATTAAGAATGAAAATAGAGACCACAACGTAATTTTAACCCTAATTTTGAACCGTTTTGGCATCTAAAAAGTGAACCATGACGTATTTCATTCACTTTTATGAGATATTTAAATCTTCTTTCAAATGTCCACTACGTTCTGTTGTTTATTTAACGAGAAAAACAGTTTTACATCATTTTCAATGATTCTTGGAGAGAGAGATGATAGACCCAAAGGTTCAGAATAAGAGTTAAAAATTAAAAGGTTCAATTAATTATTAAGATAATCATATACACGACACACGTAGCATATTGAAAATAGGAAAAATTGTAAAAAAGAAAATGATGCACTGCAAAATTCCCTTTAAGGACACGTTACGACTTATCGAGGAATCTCCGAAACACTACGCACACTATCTGGAACAACTTGTATACGTACGTATAAAACGTGTGCTCTTTCTATCTCTTTCTTTTGCTCTCTTATCTCGTTTTCTATACCTATATTTATTTTACCCTATTTGTGTATATTATGCCTGTATATCTCTTGCTTATCTCTTTCTTTCTTTCGCATCTTTTCTTGGCTTTTCTCTTTTTTTTTTTGTCAATTCTATTCTCACATTTTTCATATCGCATTCCATCTCTACATCCGCATTGTTATTGATTATCTAAGCGCGGATATCTTCAAAAAAAAAAAAAAAAAAAAAAAAAAANTTGTTTTTGATTATCTATTTTTTGATTTCTTCAAAAAAAAAAAAAAAAAAAAAAAAGAAACGTACAATGAGGATTCATGGCGATAATGAGGAAATCGTTGCGGATTACTGTCCTTACAGAAGGCACTAATATAATGATTTATCACAGAGTCTTATGTGTCTCGACACTTTTTTTTTTTTTTTTTAGATCGAATTTCCTTAAATCCTGCGTTCTAGATCTTCGTGGAGAAGGCTATTGTTGTTGGTTTCGTGAATCGACGTGGGCGATGATTCGTCTGGTTGCTCGCCGCCGCTTAATTCTAATTGACCGGTACTGTCACCGCTGCTAGAACCGCATTCGCCGTCAACGAATCTGAAGGAAATGCGTTTTTGTCGTAAGAGAAAACAACACTGTAAAAACATTTATTGTATTATAACAATTTTTTTCACGCATTCGGTTTTGAAGTTATTCACTTCAAAAAATTGGAAACTTTTGCTCTTACATTTATTATTTATTTATTTGCAATTGTTTGAAACGAGTAACTTATTTGGCCGTTGAACACGCGCGCGCGCGCACACACACACATGAACACATAGACATGTTGCACTGGAATTAATACTCACGTGTACGGTTGTTCTTCGCCGCGCATCTCGCATATGACATTCGTCAGTGCCATTATATAATTTTTCGCGAGCGTGAGCGTTTCTATCTTGCTGAGCTTCCTCTCCATTTTTACGTGTGGTATTACCTCGCGTAATTGCTGGAAATTATAATGGCAGAGGTAAATTGAAAGTCTATCTATTATATATCGAAATAACGCGCGCGCGTATTCGCGATAAAACGTTAATGGCGTCGGGATTGCAGCGTAATCGAAATATGTAATCGAAAGTTACTACAGTTTTAATGATGCATCGATCTCGTACGGCCAACCGAACGAATTGCTTATCAAATAGACTCTATCGAGTTACAAGCGTCGAGTTATCGTCGTTTATCTTCCGGACAAATCATTTTTTTCTGCTATCGTTTATATTAACGTCAATGTCAAATCAACAACATTTCACGTAATAATTCATTATGATTGTCATGTAACCATGTTAGCGAACGCAGTGAGTTTCTTCGAAAACAAATGTGATAGTGTTACAAAGAAAGTGATTATTTATCTTCACAAATGAAGTTTTTCTCAACAAGACAAGATGTGTCTTTTTTTTTTAAACGTTGCGAATGAATGTCTTCAATTAAATTGCTCCTCGCTCTATAATATGAATCTCGCGACTCAGTGGTTGGCGCAAAGATCTTTTTTTATTTATAATAACAAACAATGAGATTGTAATTTATTTGCAATTATTTGTAATTGTTTTTTCTTGGAAAAATTTAGAAAAGCTTTTCCACGTTTTCCACGCAAACGCAATGGGAACAAAAAAACGCTTCGATGAAAGAAAACGATGAAGTTCGTTACCTCAAAAGCGTCATTGAGGGAATGCATTCTCATTCTCTCTCTTTCGTTGCTCTCGAGCCTCCTCAAGTTCCTCTCGCGCGCGGAAATGCCGCTTTTCCGTTTTCTCGTCGTTGGCGGCGCGCTGCCGCGATTTCTTCTTTTCGCCTGTTTAGGACTCCTCTCGCTTCCGCTGCTGTCGCTCTCCTCGCCCACCTGTTTTCCCCGTTCAATTCATAATAAAGAGAATTATAACATAAAAGATACTAAATAAAAACAAATTCTGCAAAGTTATTGAATTGAATTAAAAAAGAAAACCAAGTCAAAATATAGAGCCAAACATTAATTTTGATGAATAAACATTGTTTTGTTCTCTCAATCATATGAAAAGTGATAGTTAAGAGAATTATGCATTGCAGCAAAATAACAGACATACGTCGCGTGTAATGCGACTTTTTCTTTCTCTCGAGTCGAATTCTAAGCAAAAGTGAAAATATCTTTGCCGAGATATCTTCGCGGTTGCGACGTATCTCTGAGCGCGTTTTCTCTCATGTTCGCAAAACAATAATTGCTCCTCACAGATGTTTTCTGTGAGCTGATATAAATTCGGTAGATAAATTATTAGCAATTTCCTTCGCCGCGCGCTGCACAACGCGTTCTTGATAAGAATATTATTTGCTCAATCTCTCGATCGTTCCGATAATGAGATATGTTGTTCCGCGCGGCAGCAATTATATCTAAGAGTCTTTATTTGTGGGTATGATTTGTTATCTGTGTTTTTCATCAAACTCGCGCTTCGATGTAATCCGATTATTTTTGGCATCGCTAATACTGTATATAACTATTACTGCTACTTGTTGCGACTCTTGTATCGCAAATCATATATTAAATTAAAAGTCGAATTACAAATATTTATCGGACAAATATTTGTATAATTCGATTATTAATTCAACATAATTTGCAATATAGTCCCATATACATATATAACTCGCGATATGTATATCGCAAGTCGTATTGAATTAAAAATCGGATTATTCATATATAGTTCGTGATATGCACATGCATATTTAGTAATCCTATATATATATACATGTATATAGTTCGATTTTCACTTCGATATAACTCGCGATACGTGTAATAACAGGAAAGCTCGAATCAATTCATTTAGTGCACTTGTGTCGATAAACTACGTCAAAATAAAAACACGACAGGTATGGCTTTTACGACACTTCATGTATTTAATTATGCCGGACAATTATTAAAATTATTACACTCGATATAACGAAGAAAAATGAAAAGCATAGCAAATGACGGGAGAGATACCTCAGCGCCAACGACATGATGGCGACTACGTTTTCCAGTAAGCGAGTCAACAGAAGCGTCGTCCAGATCGATATACATTTCCCGATCACCGCAGTCTTGGTCACTACCCGATAGCCTATCCAGACTTCGCATTATCTTGATCAGACTCACAGTTCGATCCTTCTCCTGTAATACACACATCACAGCTTTTTTCAAATCTCGCAATTGACTGCAATATAAAACCACACGAGAAAATTATATATACGAAAAAAAACCAAAAAAAAAAAAACCAAAAAATTTACAAACTATTTACCAATTTTATTAAAAACAAATATCAAGACTTTTACGCAAGATCAGAAAACAACGATACGTGTTGCTCGAGATTTGAAATATAAGAAAGAGTAAACGATATATACTGCTCGAATAAAACGATTGTAAATGAAGAAGAAAAAAAACAAAATCATCGCAGTCAGCAGTATTTATGCTGAATGAGTAATAAAAAATTCATAATGCAAGAGTGATTTATGATCGCGAATTTTTGAAAAGCAACGAAAAAGAAATTTCCAAATCGTCATTTGAGATTGTATATACGTCAGTGCATACTACGGATGTTGATGCTCAGCATAATCTCGTTCGACGATTTTTGTACGTTTTTGTGTATGTGTGTGTGTGTGCGCGCAAGATTGTGAATACGAGTGTGTACACGAGTGCAAAGTAATGTTCTATCCAACTATATAAATCATCATTAATACTGATTAACTAAAACTTTAAAATTCCGTTGCTGTGCAAGCGAGACTGAGCGATACGTAGAAGAGGAAGAAGAGAGAGAGATATATTACAAAGAGAAGAAAGAATAAGAGAGAGAGAGAAAAAGAAAGAAATCGATATGCGCGAGACTGAAGATAAACGGGCTGGAGTATCCCGTTTTTCCTGCTCGCTTGAATGCCAACAATTCTCTTCCACTTGTACCGGACCACATGTGCATTTTAGATTAGGTTCGATCGTATTGTCGGACGCGAGACTGATAATTTTAAAGTCAGAGAAACAAAAGACACACAACTTTCCACAGGCTCTTATCGCTCTACAACTTGTGTTCTTCTATTTATATGACGATGTTGCGGCTTCGTCAAATTTTAACGCACGTAAACGCACGAACTGTGAAACAGCATTAAAAACGAGACTGCGTCTATTATAAATTGAGCAACGCAGCGCGAGTTTGCACAATACGCGTTGATATTATCGAGAAGGGTTAAACTTTCGATTTTCTATTTTTTTTCGGGCTTTTCTTCGCTTCTTTCGCCGAAAATTACACCCACGGATTTTTCGCAAGAGTTTTTTTTTTTTTATTCTGCAACATAACAGCTACGAAGAACCGAGGCCAGAAATCTCGTTCTTTTATTTTTTTATTTTAATCTTTTGAAAGAATTACACGTGACAAAAAAATACATTATAAAAATATATTCGCAGATAATTCACTTCACGTGTCAAACTCGAGCGTGACATTTGACGGTTTACGTTTCTCGCGAAGAGAAATTGTGACATGATGCAAATTGATGAACGGTGTGTGTGTGTGTGTGTGTGTGTGTGTATATATTTTAAATAAAAAAACACAAACAAGAAAACAAATTACGCAGAAAGTAAATACACAGCTAAAAAATTTGCAGTCCGGTGCACATTTGATTAGTAAATATTGTGTTAACGTCCGCATTACTGCCAGCGAGCGTGACAAATCGACCTACAATCAACGTGGCGAAATACCGTTTTGCACGCGCGTCAACGAACGAGCGCCACGATTTTTCCACACGTATCTTCTCATATCGCGAATAGAGAACACGTGTGTTACAATGCCAAACTCGTTTTTCTTTTATATCTTTTTAACAGTAACGGTCTTAGCTGATATCGAAAGCGCTGCGCGGTTGCTCCGTCGCAACTTTTTATTTTAACATTGGGCGCCGTCGCACGTTTTCGCTATATTTTACACACACGCATCACGCACACGCACACATACACACACGTCTACGATAATATCGACTTATAAATTATTACGAGTTTCGTTCTTATCGCGCCAAGTGTTTTCTTGAAAATAACACGCCGATTCGATTATTCAAGTCACATCGGCGAGCATTAATTTGCTTGTATATTTATCGGCGCGATACGCTCGACAGCGCGCTCTCGGCGCTCGCGAAGAAAGTATCTGTATTTGTCGGATGAAGTGTCAAGGGCGACTTAGACCCGTGCAAAACGCTCGCTTTCCATTTTTTGGGCGAATTTCATTAAGCTATTTAACGCGTCGAATGATTTACCGATATAATTACCTCGATGTAAAGTAAAATCAAAAACATCTCCCCAAACGTTATGTAGGACGTTTATCGTGGGAATCGACGTTGAGAATTGGAGTTATCTCTGAGCAACGTTTCCTCGGACCCCAAAACGTACATAAGCGTTAGAGTTAAAACTCTAAAAAAAATCTAAACCCTTTCTTTTCTATTTTCATACATAAGAAAAACTTCTTTTTTTTTTTTAACGCGATTCTCTAAACCGAAGCATCGCGTATAAAATATATACAAAAATTCAAAGACGTAACTCTTTTATATTTTTATACAAGAAATAATATTATATACACGACTATATGTCAATGCTCGTATTGGCCTTTTCAATTTATATTACTTGACATTTTCACGAGCGGATTCCTAATTAATTTTATACAAGAAGCTTCTAATTTTTTATATAACTCTGAAAAAAAAAAAAAAAAAACAAGATATCGCGAGATCGAAGATTTGATAAAGCAACTTGTGAGAAATCTCAACACACGCTTTATAAAATTATCTCGCTATCAAACGGCTGAAGCGTGTACTTCTGAGTATCATCTTTTTTTTAAATCCGCATTCTCTCTTAAAGGTAGAGAAACACGTGAAGCGCGGGACGGAGCGAAAAGTTGCTTGCAACTCTCTGCGCTCTCTTACGAAATACAAATCGCGTATACTTCAGAAGCGCGTTGCAATCCCAGTGTAATAAGCTCTCTCCTCGTTGAGACGAGGTAAAAAAAAAAAAAAAAAAAAAAATAGAAATTTCAAAAACATCGCTCAATTTTTTTGACAGCGTTCCGAAGCGGTGCGAAGAAAAGACACGAATGTGCAAAATGTTTACGCGCATATACATTCGTCTCGTCCGAGTTATTGCATTCAATTGTCTCTCGGTGTATAAAAAAAAATCTGTGTGTACAAATATAATTTACCTGATCGGTCGATTATTCTCCATCAGTGCCTCGTGTGAATTACACCGAGTGCACGCTCACTGGAGAACCGTACTAGCGTCGGCAACCTTCTTACTTAGACAGTCGCGCTTTTCACCGCCGAACGTTTCTCGCACTTTTCCTTTCACACGACACTCATTGATCTTGCCACTTTAAATCACTGATCGGTGAATCCGCGAACTCGCTTACTCTCGACGAGGTGAGGAGAGAGGAATATATATTCGGATTGAAGAGCTCTGTAAATCACGATTGTCGTTTTTTGTCCAAATTTGAAATCAAACGACTGAGATAATATCGAATCGATCGACAGAAACGACGCGAGAAAAAAATTGAAAAAGAGAGAGAAAGAGAGAGAAAAAGAGAGAGGGAGGAAGAAAAAGATGTGGAAAAACTGAAGGAGAGAAAGTGCGGTTGAACGCGCGTATATTCCGAAAAAAAAAAAGGTCAGAAATGGAACTTCATCGGTGTAACTACGTGCCGATACACAGCCAGGGCCGGCCGAGCGCCCAATGCGGACTGACTATAACTGTAAACGATCACTTGTCGGCGGAGAAGCGAGGAAGGCCCCACCGGCTTCCCTCGGGGACTCCCGCCACTTGCATTGAATATAGCCCGCGACAACGTGCCGGCGTACCAGGCGAGCAGCGGCGGCGTTTATACCGGTGTATCAAACCGTATATACCCGAGGTGTATCAGCGCGAGTTACCTCGTTGCCGCGGCTCCCACCAAACCAGTTCCTGCTCCAGAGAACCCGCTTCCACCTGCTCTCTCGCGCTCTGAATGCTCCGAATGCGCCCGGCCCGATTATCCGCTGAAAACTAAAAAATTGTTTTTGCCTCGGAGAAATCCGACTCGAAGAGAGAGAGATAGATAGATAGATAGATAGATAGATAGATAGAGAGAGAGAGAGAGAGAAAGGAAGGGAAGAGGAAAAGAGGCGTTAATAATCTCCTCCTCTTGTATCCTAATCTGTGTGCGCTCTCTCTTTCTATATCTCTTCTCTTCTTTTTCTTCTCTTTTTCTCCCTCTTCCCCTCGTTCCTTCACCGAGTTGAAGTATCACAATTTCGCAATCTTTATCGTACGACATGCAAGCGAAGTCGTTTGCCGCTCATTAGACAACTCTTCCTTTCGACGAACACATTTGTCATTTATGTTATTGTTGGTGTATTTTTATTATTATTATTATTTTTTTTTTTATATTATTTTCTCTTTACATTGTCAAGAAATGCGGGACACCGGGCTTGAACATTACGTAACCGCGCGCGCCGCATTGTACTTCCGCGAAATATATAGAAACCTGTTGCGAGGACTGTGCATTTATCGCCGCTGTAAACAAGTTATATCTGCGCGCGCCTCTTCTTTCGGAGATTTTATCTAGCAAAGTTTTGCAACATTTTGCGCCTGCTTTTTACTGTATTTTTTTTTTTTTTTTTTTCACACAGAGTGTGATAATTTACTCGCAGAAAAAAGTGAATTAACATACGATCGTGTATAATTTTTCAAAACATCTTTCATCCGATTTCAGAACGATCCGATTTCAGAATTCGATTAACACAATATGATAAAATATCTTTGTTTCTTTTTTTTTTTTTTTTTCTTTTAATGAACGCGCTCGTCGAGAGACGAAAACCGTTTCGCAACCAGTTTTTGCCGATCTTAAATTTCAGCGCGATACTTTTTACGAAGCGCGCACACAGGGTGTTGCAAAAGTATCGCGTTTTGTGCGCGCGGGTTGTTGCGCGCCGCAAGAAAGAAATCAGTAATTATTCGATGGGTTTTCGGCGCGGTTATTTTTCGCGAGGAAGAAAAACAATCGCGATCGTCAATCGCGATCAAGGTGGCCGGGATCGCGATTGAGAATTTCGCTAAAGTTAAATCGGAACACACACACTTTCGTCACGCTTGCTTTCTAGATCGTCGATGATAGACGACGCGCGTTCTATACGAAACCCGCGCGTTATGTATAACGGTATAACGCGCGAAGACATTCCTCCTCGACTGAATCAGTCGTTGTATACCGAACGACGTCGTTCGTTCGTCCGTCCGTCCGTTGTGTCCATAGCTGATGATCACGCATCGGTCAAGGCCCCTTCTACTTTTTCCACGCCGTTACCTTCTTCCACATTTGTACGGCACAAGCACAGCCACCTTCACCTTCTCTCCGGACTCCGCGAGCCGCGTTCTTTTCTTCGTTTCTTCACGCGTTCCCGATCGTTCTCGTTTCATTTCTTCCTTTCCCTCCCTTGCCTTTCGCTTCGCGGCTTCGACATGCCGAAGAAAATGCACGAGTGTGCGTGTGTTTCAAAGTTATATACAGGAGCAAGTTACGCCAGTAAAGAGGTGAGAACAATGCGTTCTCTTACGTCAGAAACTAACGAACGAGCGGACGAACGAACGAACGACGAATCACGTGATTAAAAACTATGACGACACGATATATCGCTCATGGTATCACTGGGGAATGTGGCCGCATGTCATATCTCCGTGACGTAATAATATGCCGTATCGAATGGTGAGATAACGTCTCTGTCTAAAATGTCATTTGGAAATAAATTGATATCTCGCTAAATCGCACACCGTGATACATACTGCGATATAAATTGTCGCTCAAAAGTTTGAAAGTGTCACGTGTGTTTTCTTAAGAGACAATAATAATAATAATGTTGATATTTTCCAAATTTTATTGATTTTACAAAAACCAAAATCTCCATTTTAAAATCCTCAATTTACGTCATCAAATTGATTTCCTGCTCGTGTTTGGCTTATATTATTAATTTTTAGTAATTGTTAATATAATTTTTTTGTTCCCAATCACACATTTCCGAGAAATCATTTAGTTTAAAAAATGTTATTGAATGCTAAATGCTTCCAGACTTTTGAATCATAGTGTATATACATGTCAGGTATAGAACACACAGGTGATACGTAATAACTGATAAAACAATTGTGTGTATTTCAAGAACATTTCGAGAATGTATACCCGACGATATCTTCACTGAAACATACTTCCCTATTATCATTTCATTATCGTATTGTTTGCGCCATATTTTTGTGTGATTATAATAATAAGTTGATTTTATTAAGGGATGTTACGCTCGATAAGAGTAAAATTAAACTTACTACTTTTGTTAATCAATGTAATTGTTTTCTCTTTACATTTCTATATGTCATTAGGAAAATCTACTCTCTATCTTCGAGAAAGAGATCTCTGACTTAACAAATTAATTGCGTCGCTGGGCCCTGCGATATGCCGCTCGCGTGGCAGCAAACCAATAACGATGCGCCACGAGTATCAGTGCTCCCTTGACTCGGCAAGAATTCAACTCTGAAAAAACACACTGATACACACCTTCTTTCTGCATGTTGGCGTACAAGAGCGCGCCTTGCGCATTCCCGTCGCAATGCCCCGGGACAAATGTTCGGTCCGCTAAAATCATTTTCACGTCCTAGAATTCAGAATCACCGATGAGTGTTAAAAAAAACCAATCGTTGCTACGTTTTGGGAATTAACGATTTACGACGGCAATACTTTTAAAACGCGCAAAATATAATAAATAATGATTATTAATATTCATTTATATTCAAACGAGGCGCAAGTTTTTGATATTGTAAAACTAAAATAAAATACATACATACATACATCGCGATATATTTGTAGAGCAAATATATATATGTGTAAATATATATAAATATATTGTAGATCAAACATAGAGATTATATTTATCGCTACGATCCTAAAATTCAACCGTGTCCCGCTCACTCTGAACTGACACATTTGCGCTCACCAGGGACACTCGGTACATTGCCTCGAGTTATCGGCGGATCGATCGGGCGACACACGTGACGGCAGCCTAAATACGAAAAATAAAAGTTCCATTAAAGTCACAAGTCAAGAAATCCGCCCTCGCCCCAGGCACAATTTCTCTCGAGCGATCCAGGTCGAAGTTAGGCGGCGGGAGGAGAAGAAAGGAAGGAAGTTGCAGGTTCCTTTCATTTCGCAAATTTGATCGCTCGTTTCGTGAGCGGGAATTTCGCGTCGGTTCTGCGCGCGAGTTGCATCGAAAAAAAAAAAAAAAATCGAAAAGAAATTGGATTAATTTTCCAATTACGCTAATTACGAAGGAACAGTTTCACTGTCGCTGCTACAAATTGCTTCAAACGTCCGAGAGATACGATCGATCGTCCGTGAAAATAATCCGGCATTCAGACTGGCGCGGCGCTCGAGGATTTTCAATGTGTTGTACCCGCGCGCGTCAGTGTGAAAATGCTCCTTTCACCCGGATTCTGGCGCGAGAATGTCGTTGAAAGACGAACGACGAACCTGAAGAGAAGGACAGACGCGCTAAGACTGGATTCACTCGATTTGTTTCGATTAAAATACAATTAATCGACAGAAAGAGACGGTATCAATCAATTTTCCGATTGAAATTTTTGATCGAAAGTTTCGCTTCGTCCAATCGTTGGCTGCAGACAGCGAGACGAGACAGCCACTGATTGGAGGAAGAATAACGAGGGGGAGTATCCGGTTTTGACGTGTCATGAATCAAGAGAGGTTCGAATATAAAATATATATTCACTAGAAAAATATTATAATATATATAAGCTATTTTTTTTCATAAATACAAGTACAAACGTACACGACTTCTTAGAGAAAAAACAAAAACTAACATCTTCAAGAGAATATTCAAAATTACGTCGTTACATGACGCTATTTACATACTCTACAAATCACATTACAGAGAAACACGCATACACAGAAGGAAACATTCAGACTTGTTTACAAAAGTATGTTCCGTTTCGGCAATCGGTTGTTGTTCGAATCTTAGTCACTCGTTATCTGCTCATAGAGCTGAACATATCATTCAAGCGCTTTGTGAAAAAGGATATATAGATCGTGATTTTTCTTCACTCACGTCTTCGAAAAAAGACTTGGCATTTGTTTTATCATTGGAAAAAATGTCAGAGAAAAAAGAAAGTGACTCCTTTGATGAATCTGACCAGTCAGACTGTCTTTCGGAAAGCAGGAAATTGAGGGTAGATATATATTTTTCTCATTATTCCTATGCGGATTTTTTTGTTGCACGCAGTTACGTAAAACAGTGCATATATATATATATATAATGCAATATCTATAAATACAAGAATATATTAGTATATTTTAACGTATAATGTTAGGTAAAATTTATTTTTTCAAGAAGTTTTTACAGCAGATGAAAAAATTGACTGTAGAAATATTTTCAGGAGTTTTTTGGCAGACTGTGCATAGAGAAAGAAAGCAATGATGATGATGATGATGATGATGATGATGATGATGATGATGATGATGATGATGATGATGACTTAATTGACGAGGAATACATAAAAAAGCTTTATTTGGGAGAAGGTAAATTTACAAAATTAAATTCACACGTTTTGTGAAACAAAAAAAAATACGTCACTCAGCAATTCACTTGTACAGATCGTTTAACTTTATTGTGTTTATCAGAAAGAATAGAGCGTGTTTATGATCGGTGTATATAAATCCTTCAGAGAACATATTCTTTGAAAGACTTTGTGGGGCTGGATCATTTCCGTATTCTTTCTAAAAATAATCAAACAGTTTCTCTGCATACATAAACAACGTTCCAAATAAATATTTTTACTGTTCAGTTTTTAAATATATATTTATTATCATTTAAAAATATTTAATTATGAATATATCTTAACAAATATCTATCGAGCGATCCAGCTCCACAGTCAACAAAGGATCAAAGAGAGGGAATCTTAGACAAAGTGAGTGATCGGATTTAACGTTTCCGACACCAGCGGGCGAATTTAAAATCACATTGTTGACAGCACGAGTTCTACTTTCTGCAGAAACAATTTACTTCTTAACGTGCCTAGTTGTAGATTTATCCGAAGCTTTTGGAACTTTCTCAAGTTTGGGTAACATTCAGTCAGAAGCATCTCCAAAAGTATCATCTTCGAATTCGGAGTGTCTAGTTGCAAAATCATCCGAAGCTGTTCGAGTTGTCTCAAGCGACTCGATGAACACTCAGTCAGAAGCATCTCCAAAAGTATCATCTTCGAATCTAAAGAGTGATTTCAAAGTTTCTACAAAGAATACAATCCCAAAGGTTAAGAAGCGTTTCGACACCGTTGAAAACTTTTTCCAAAAACAACTTAAGGAAAAGAAAAAAAAAGATTCCGAAGGTAATCCCACACACATATCAAGCACGTTTCCATATTTACAAACTATGAACATGAACTTGTACCCCGTAAACATGATAAATCTTTTTTCTTCAGAAGACTAGTATGCAGCAAGACTATCGTAAAATCGTCGTTTCTTGACGATATCCGACCAAAAGAACAAAATCTTTGTTATGGCGTAAATTCTCAATCGACTCTCTAAATATAGGATTTCGTTTTGCATTTTACAAACCACGACGAGGTTCGATCTGTCATGCGATTCAGACTAAAATTATGCGCAAAAAATTGCGGACATTCTTTCGGCTTGAAAATGCGGTTTCAGACGCACACAAACACATGTGTAAGAAATATATCTCAATTGAATGTAAAGAAGTTGTATATACAGACGAAGAAACATCGTACACATAAAACTGTGACATTGAAATCGTGCGTATACACCTGGTTGACAAACTTTCGGTTGTTTGTTTTTGCACAGATATCTCTCGATCACAAATATTTTTGTAAGGTATATACCTAATGCTTTTATTTTTACACAACAAAATATCATTGATATGCATAAAGTTTTAAATAATATGTACACATGATTTGACGCAATTCGACTTACATTTCGACTTGTGACCGAAATCTCGAGACGTCGTAAGTTGAAGGATGTCTAGGATGTTTTAGATTTTTAAGCGCGAAAGAAAACTACAAAACAGGAATCACAAAACTTTTTGCGAAAAGAAATACTCATAAATTCAAAATTATTTTAATTGAAATTGACTTTGAAATAATTTTGCAATAGATAGCCAGCAATAATATATAGAAATTTTTAATCCAAAATCAACACAACAAAAGTGCGAAAAAAGATAATTCAGGTCAAGTAGATCAAACGTGCTTTCAAAAATTGCTTTGCGTTGCAATTGATGTTTAAAGCAAGTTTTTAGAGCATTTTAATCAAATATTTGATTAATCAATATTTTAGAGAGCGCGTATGTACGTGATTCTTTTTTTACGTATTGTAAAGAGTATCTTTTAAATTGCATTGTCTGTTGGAAGATGTTACATCGTACACAATAGAGAATTGCTCAAAAGAAAAGACATCGAATTAATTAAGACCAACCAAACACTTCGTACATTTTTGAACGAAATAAAATTCTCGCTTTTACATCGAACCTAAAAAGTCGTCAATCAAAAATCAATCAATTGTAAAAAACTACGTTTAATATCGTGCTAATTGTTTTCATCTCCTTACATCTCAATTTTTTGGACATGTAACTGATTGTGTAACGCGCAACTTGTAGCAAATAAAAACCTGCCATAACAAGCAATTCTTCTCTCGATTTTGTTACATCTATCTCGGATGAGTTAATTCGCGTGTTGTGCATGTTAATTAACGACTAAATAACGAGTGTCATAGAAAGTCTCGTGTTAGTCTCTCTCACGCATACATCACCGTTCAAAAGTTCGGGAGCAGCTTTCGAGAGAGAATTTTTTTAAATTAAATTTCTTTTTACTATTTTTTTTTTTGTTTTTAACTTAAATGATTTGTCGGAAACGCGTCGCTTCCAAACACTTTCGAACGGTAGTAGTGCGTGTTAAACTTCGATTACACGCGCGGGGAATGTAAATAGCAGTAGCATATTCTCTCGAGCATTCGAACGCGAGTCGAGGATTCATATGGAAATCTCGACGCGCGCGCGTCGCTCATTCATTTCGCGCATTTCGATTTATTTTTACAGCGCGTCCGCGGGAATGAATGATTATCGCGGCTAGAGATGTAGACAATATAGCCGGGCACCCGATTATTAACCGAAATTGCCCGTGTTACTTTAAGCGTATATCTTTCGCCTGTCCCGCTGCCGGAGAAATCCAGCTTGCCGCGAGTTAATTGGACTACTTACATATTCCGGTCCGCAGGAATTTTTCCCCGCTCGCACACTCACGCGAAAGGTCACGCAAACGCGGATGTAAAGGCGAGCGAACGGAGAACGGTGCTGGCGTACGCGCACGCGTGCTGCCGCGGCGATGCCATTTTTCTCATTTCGCCGCAGAAAAATCGCACGAAAAAAAGTTCGCGTGGTGCACGATGAATGAACGATGATTTCACGTGCGACGTTACATCCGAATTACAAGAGAAGTTTTTCATCGCTATTCGCACGTGAGACATGAGTCCCGTATACATGTACAAGCCACGTCGTCGGCGATACATCGTCGCGCATAATAAAATCCACGATCGCGGAATCACATTCGGTTGCAAAACTATGCGAAACTTTCTCGTAAGTTCTGTTCGGAGTTATTTCCTGTTTTTAAGTCATTCGCTGAAGTCAATTCTGTTCCTTTCTGTAAAAGCGACATCACGGAGAAAAGCGCACTGTGCGCTTGCGGCAGTGCGGAATATAATATAATGTAGCGCTGTAAAAAAAAGTTTGCCTTGACGGGGAATATAATTAATAGTGAAGAAATGGCCAGCGACTTTCTGTCTCTTCTCGCCGTTCGAATCGTATAACGTGTGTTTGTGCGTGTGTGTGTGCCTCTCTACATATATATATAGAGAGATATATATATATATGTATATGAGAGATATATATATGTATATATATATACATATATATGTATTATACATGATTCGCGATAAATTTATACGAAACTAGCTTATGTTTCGAGTTTTATCTGTTTGGCCATGAGACAAATTACACTTTTATGCGTTACCCACGCACGACTCGCTGTATAATGTATATTAAATATATGTACATATAAACAAAACACATAAAACTTTTATCGTTCCAAAGATAAAAGGAACAAATAAAACAAACAAATGGTTTTTTCTGCGTATCTGCAAATAAAAAACAAGCACATTCTTCTTCATCTTTTCGGCAAATCTTATCTTAAAGTTAAAAAATGCAGCGCTCTGAGACAAATTTGAAACAGTTCGACGCATTTTACGTGATGCATTTTAAAATACTAAAAACCCATTTGCAAATTCTATCAGCATCTTCTTTCAATTATCTACTAATGTGCTTTGTTGTTGTTGTTTTTTAATGAAATAATAATTTTGCATAATTTATTTACAATCTGCGATAAATATTTGCGCGAAATATTTTTCTTTCGTCATCACGCCGTTCCCAGAAATTGGATCCACGAGACGTTTCTTTTTTGACACACGCTCGCATCACCTGATGCGCTCCGTTTCGGTAACGAACTCAGATATCACTTCCGCTCGTTTCCTCGCGTAAATGTTTCTTTCTTTTTTTTATTATTTTTTTTTTTTTACAGCGATCGCGCCATGACGCGCGTGCGCGCGCGATTCGCGGCGTTGAAATCGCTCCAAGTCCGCTCTCGCACGATTTCTAAATCGCGGAGCAATCGAGCGCAGTAGGTGCACTTTCTCCGTGCCTTTCTCGCGCGGGGCATTAAGATATATCCCGACTCCTGGCTCAGGATACTCGATCCGATCCAGGTCGGTTTGAGATGGTTTTGTAATTGAATTTTCAGCGGAAACCCCTCTTTCGCCAGAACACCACCGCCAGACGTGCATGACACACCAGACGCGCCGCATTCCGTATTGCGAAAGCGACGCATGGTGGATCGAATTCACAGAATTGATCGCGAAGTAAGAGTGAACAACGGTTCTTGCTATTTTACTGTTACTAACGGGCACGCGGGATGGATTTCACTACATATATATTGTATTGAATATGAAATTTAAATGAGATGTATGTATTTAGTTGGCTCCGAAATTTAAAAACTTTAAGTACGTTTGTAGAAGTCAAAAAAACACACGGCTGTGGCAGTGCGTTGAAATATTTATTTTGTTGAACTGCACAAACGTTTCGCGACTACGGAAAACGTTTGCAGTTTGACAAACGACTATTTCTCAACGCATAGCAAATTTTATAGCAGCTAGCAAATAATCTAAAATGTCAGTTTGTCAATTTGAAAAAAAAAATATATATATAATTGATGTCAAAGTGTCGGTTGAAAAATGTTGTTGAAAAGATAAAATTTATATTTTTTATATTATCGGTTTTTTCTCTGATAAACTTCATAACGACAGAATGTAAAAAAGGAGAGAGAGAGAGAGAGAGACAAAAAGAGAAAGGGAAAAATCGAGTACATAAAATTACAATTTTGTCGTTAATTGTAGGTTGTCTGTGAAGTTTTCCAACCGGATAAAATATAATATATGTATATCTCTCTCTTTCTCTCTCTCTCTCTCTCTCTCTCTCTCTCTCTTGCCCGCTCTCTTTCTGGATTTAAACCAATTTTATACTTCACGCTGAGCGATCGTCGATAGACTGATAGAACAGGCCTGGTGTGTACGTGTTCTCTTCTGGAATCTGCTCTCGAGGTTGTCGTGGGTGGGAGTCTGAAAACTAGGCCTCGCGTAAGAACGCGAGGAACTAACGGGTGTCCCGCTCATCGCGCGATCGCGCGCACCAGTTCGTCATCCTTTAAGTGCGAAGGGAGACGAAAAAAAACGAGAAAAAGAAACCGCGTTTCGAAAAGTTCGGTCGGATGAGATCAACGACACGCGTCTCGATCGAGACGCCGTTTTCCGTTTTTCTTCCCGACGAAAAGAAAAAAAAAACGTCACGGATTTTTGATACAACGAGCGGACGCAAGTCGTGAAGTCGCCGTTCTCGCACACCGTGTAGTTATAGTCCGCGTCGGGGCCGAGGAACACGTAGCGAAACCTTTGAACGCGCGCGCAATCCCTTTCTAAAAGCGGCGCTCTCCCGGAGTTCGGAGGATAAAGTGCGGAATAAAAGGAGACGCGGAATGAAAGGAATGCCGCACGTGAGGAGAACGATCTCCGCTAAGCGTGAGAGATGCGCGGAAGGCGCTGCACACACGAGTACGTGTATATTATATACATATATATATGTATATGTATGTATAGTTGCTCTCTCTGTACATATATACCCTCTACGTACCCTGCATACTGCGACACTAATGGACGCACACGTGACACAAGGCCGTGCAATCACCTTGGTTGAGGCCTGTCGAGACACCGAGACGTTCTTTTTTCTTTCTTTCTTTCTTTTTTTTTTTTTTTTTTTTTCTGTTGCGTCGAGTAGCGGAACAGCCATTTTACAGTTAGTCCGATCAGGATGTTCCTCTCTCGTCGGGAGACCTTCTCTCCGCCGTCAAACGCGCGAGAGCCAACCGCGATGAGATCTGCGGAACAACGAAGCGAAGCGCGCGATACAACCGTTCCGTTTCCTTCGTTCGACTTTTGTTTTGCTGCACGGCCAATTTTATTCGACACGGATAACAAAGCGATCGCGTATATACGCGCGCGCTGCGTTAAATAAAGACGTGCGTTTCTTGTCGCGTTATGAAATCAACGAAAGAGAGAGAGAGAGAGAGCAGAGAGAAAGTAACTTCTATATACTGACAATGCACGGGCCGCTCACAGACCAACGCGAGACGCGCGGAGATACTCGAGAAAAATTATTTTGTCGCGTTGTTTGACACAATGTCAGTATCTCGTTTTGATTATCTCGCTTGAGAGAGATTTCGAATAAAAAAAATCGATGTTTCTTTTTGACTCGCGTAAAATGTGTTTAGAACATGTCCGTAAAGCGAGTTTCTGAAATTCGTAATATTGTACGGAAATTACAGGCAATAAATTGCTCCAGTACCGTTAAATTTTAAAATAAAAATTAGCTCGCACTGATAGAATTTCCAGTTTTTTTTTGCATGAAATTTTAAAGACACTTGAAATTTTAATAATAATGTAATATATCTCAAACCTCATTTCGATATCTCTATTTTATAGCTTCGTATTAAAATTTCTAAAACTCACCTTGTTTTCGACTAGTTCTAGATCGGAATCTCTTCCTTCTCTCTTCGTCAAGCAAAGACAAATAAAGATATGAAACGCGGAAGAATGAATTCTCGGCGAGAATCGATGTTGCGAGATGATGGTGTGTGAGATATTAAAACAAAAAGATAAAACGCGCTATGTCTATCGCGACGATTGGTCTCCCTAGATCGCGCGCCTTTGTTATCGCGTCGTCGAACGCGGCGTCGCGTTGTTAAAAAAAAAAAAAAAAAAAAACCGACGTCGTAGCTCGACGTCAGCGTTTCCACGGCGACCTTGCCGATTACGACACACTTGTTAACACACACCCGTGCGCCTGTACGTGTTTACACACGTGTAACGCGAGCGAGTGTATAGCAGCGAGAACGGGTGAGACACGATGAGAGAGGAGACGTGCAAATATTTGGCACGAAGCGGCTGTGCGGAAGCGATTATCGGAACGTAACGACGTCTTAATGTCTCTTCTTCGCGCGCACGGTCTG